GTGGAACGAGCCTGTGTGTTCCCGAGGCTGTAAGTTTTTATGAAAGTCACAAGGCTCATCTCTCTCCTGGGGAGTGGACCTTGTGGTCAGCAGCCTGATGTGTAACCCACTTGGCCACTATGAGCGCAATCTACTTATAACTGACATTTGGAAGTAGGAGCTGATCTACCTGAAGACGCAGTTGAAGTCACACAATTCAAAACGGCATACCATGGCAACACCTGGACTGCTGCGTTTTGCATTGCTCAGCATTGATAGTAGTTTGCAAACGCTGTTTCAGCCCAGGCTGGCTAAAAGGCATGGGTGTAAAAGAAGTCTGCTCTTTCAAAGGTAGCTTTCAGTCCTAGAAGTGACTTGTGAACTTCACTGTTGAGATTGTCCTCTGAGTTCAGAGGGGAAGTGGCTGCATTGATTGGGGACTCACTTAATGAGGCTAGCTGTGACTCTGGTCTATATGCTGGCACTCATGGGTCTAATGCTCTCTGGCCAGGGAGAAGGGGCGTGTTTTGAATAACTGGGAAATCCTCTCTAGAGAAACCTGAATGTTCTGGGAGTGAAGCATGAAGAAACAGAGACTTTCAGGGACAAAGATTACTATGCTCTTAGTTTATCAATTTTCTAGGCAAGGAAACATTCCAATGAGCCGAGGAACTGGCCAAGATGAAAAAGGAGGAGAGAGACATGGAGCCGAATGTTCCAAGGGATCCAAGATTCAAGCTTGATCCAGGAAGTCAGTTGCTGTAAAGGGCATGGTTGGGCAACTGGTCAAATTGGTGTTCACACGACAAATGAGATAACACTGTATCTTTGTCGCATTGTCTTTCTGTTAAGTTATCAGCACTTTCTTTGGAGATACCTTTGTTCATAAGAAATGCCCTTGGGAATATTGGGGGAATAACGAGGAGGAGGTTTGCAACCTACTTCTAGATGGTCGATCAAGCAAAGGTTAATTTGCAGGTCTGGATGAAGGATACAAGGGGGTTCTTTGTACTGTTCTTATAGCTTTACCTGAGTTTGAAATAAAGAGCTGCCAAAATACTAAGTAAAAATTAAAAAGTAATTAAATGAGGGACACAAGCAAAAACAGACAGGAAGACAATGTTGCCAGTTTAGCTGGAACATGAATGAGCCTCAGGCAATATGCCCTAAGCAGTGCACAGGAGCACAGCCGGATACGCCAGTTTGGGGCCAAGGAAATCATGAGAACTCTGTGTGTTCTGTTCCCA